TCTTCGATTTAAGTGGCGCATGTTGGGGGGTAGCAATGCTGACGCTGAGTGGCACGGCCTTCTGATAGGGCTGGAGTACGCTTCGCAAGCAGGGGTTCAGTTTTTGGCGATCGAGGGGGACAATGACGCCGTTATTCAGCAGCTTTTGGGAGTCTGGCAGGTTTGGGATTTCAGGAGTTCTATTACCGATCTCAGTGCTACGCAATTTTATCTACGTTCTTCTACGTCCAGGCTAAATCGGTTCCCAGGGCTAGGAATTATCTAGCGGACTCGTACGCGAATCTCGGCATCGACGAAGCGCTGCCGGCACCGATGCATGACTCACCTTTCAGCTTCCATTCGCGCGGGTACTGCCTGCAGGGGGGGCCGAACCTTGGCGACGCCGACGCACCGCTCATAGACGGCGATGTCCGCGCCAGTTCTGGTTGCGACGATTTCCCCCATTTCTCCACGTGCTTGTGCATTGAGGGCACGGGCGTCACACATCCGCTGCATATCATTACAGAGTGCCTCAACAGGGATATCCGTGGGGATTGTCGCACAGCACATGCACGTCCTTCGAAACGACGTCGTCGGAGCGAGGGGGGAGGAGAGGGATCACAGAGCACGCATGATCGCACACCTGGCCATGATGACGTACCAGTGTGTATTTTGGGCATGACAGGTTACCAAAGGGACATTAGCATTCTTACAAACATGGCCCTGCTACCTAAGGAAACCGTAGTGCATTGGTGGAACCAGCTCCGGCCAATCACGGTCCTCCCTGTTCTGTTGAAGGTGGTGGGTGGAGCTGTCTTCGACACTGTCTCGAACTTGCTGCAACCTCGCAACTTATGGCAGTTCGCTTATCGGGCGCGCCACTCCTGCGTAGACATGCTTTTCACAGTATTGATGCTTGGCCAACGTTCCGTGCAGGCTGACCAGAAGTTCACGATTGCTCCGTCTGGTGTACCTAAAGCTTTCGATCGAATTCGTCACGCGTTCATCGTGGATACGTTAATGGAGAGGGGGGTACCGCGTAGTATCATAGCATGGCTTATACGTCACATTCGTAGTCTACGGCATTCGCTACACTATCAAGGGCTAGAGGGTATTACGGAACGCATTACTCGATCTATTCCCCAGGGAACCAAATGGGGCCCAGTACTGTTCGCAGTCTGCTTGGAGCGGTGCTTGAATCCAGTGTGGGAGCTCTGCCAAAGGTCCCGGCTTGGTGTACCTCTAGAGATATTCGTCCGTGTGCGCAACATAAGCAGAAGTGGTGCGAGCACTGTTGTCCTTTATATGTACCCTTCGTGTGTTTCTCAGACAACCTGGTTATACTTGGCAACGGCTGGCAACAGGCAAAGGAAATCCACGCTCTTGCTGAAAAGGCGTTGTCTTTGGCCGGCTGGGAGCTGCCAGCATCTCGCATCCAGCGGCACACCACGGAGGAGTTGGGAGGGGACTCGGATAGGAAACCGTACAATCCATGAGAGGGGACGGAGAGATTCAGCAACGGGGCTTCGCCTAGGCTGGTGGGGGGGTACATGACGGCGAGGGGGTGCATGCAGCAGGACATTTGCAAGAAGTGTTATTCCGGTTCCAGTAATGTAGCTCAGGCAAGCAGTTTGTGGAAACCTCGATGTACTGGCAGGCTGCAGCGCATCACACTCATCCACCGAGTTTGGACGTCATCCGCTTTGTGGACGGCCCCCTGCTGGACCTACAACCTGCGATCTCTTCAGAAAGTACGCGGGAGCGTCAACAAGCATTATCGCGATGCCCTACGGCTTCACAGGTACAGGAACGAGTCTGACGAGAACTATGCAAGACGGCAACGGCGTGAATCAAAACAGCTCCGGATGGATTCTCATATTGTCGATGCTGATGTCGTAGCTCTCCGAAGGACTTTCCAATATGCCGGACACATGGCCAGAATAATACAATATGCTCCAGAAGATTTACCATGCCAGGCGCTGCTCTGGAACTGTTGGAGCCGATGCCAAGAGAACGTACTCAGGAGTTGGCATAGGCAAGGGCATCCGCGCAGATTCGCTCCTTGGCACTGGGAGTACCAGTTCGTCAGATTCTTCAGGGAGGAGGGGCTTGAGTGGAAGGAGGTGGCCTGCAGGAAGGGAGAGTGGAACAAGTGGGAGGAGAAGTGGATTCGACACATGTTAGGGGCGGAATGTAGTAAAGCGATCCTGTAGCAGTAGCAGACATGCCAAGTGTTTATCACGCCTTTGTTAGCTAATGTCTCGGGGATGGGCCGCCTTGGGGTCACGCCTCACGAATGTGTGCCGCCGGAGAAAACGACCCATTTCAGCCAAAAGGGGTCGTTTTTCGCAGGGTCCCGCGGCATTGCATTTTCGTGTCGATTTAGCTGTTTTTTCCTTGTAACGTAGATGCTCGGCTTCTTAGCATTCTCGACAGGCGGACGATGTCATTCAGGCCTGCTCACCACCACCACCTCCTCCTCCTCCTCCTCCTCCTCCTCCTCCTCCTCCTCCTCCTCCTCTCCTCTCCTCCTCCCCCTCCCTCTCCTCCCTCCTCTCCTCCTCCTTCCTCCTCCTCCTCCTCCTCCTCCTCCTCCTCCTCCCCCCTCATCCCCCCTCCTCCTCCTCCTCCTCCTCCTCGCTCCTCCTCCTCCGCCTCCTCCTCCTCCTCCTCCTCCTCCTCCTCCTCCTCCCCCTGCTCCTCCTCCTCCTCCTCGCCCAATGGTTCCTTCCATAAACCCTCACCGTGCCGGCCCGCCTTCGCGGGTCGGCCGGGGCCGGGCGGACCGGGTCTGCGCGGAGAGTGGGCCCCTCGGTGGCGAGGTGCCCTCGGGCGCGCTTCGCCGCCCTCGGGGGCTCCCCGAGAGCCGGGCGCAGCAGCTTTTGCCGCGCCTGGGGAAAGCGTGCGGTCGGCGTCACCCCAACATATTTAGACCTGGTAGATGTGCGTCGCCCCCCCCCCCCCGGGGGCGACGCGCTCACTGAGAACTCTCAGAGTACATGCGTCGTGGCGGGCGCTTTCTGGCCACAGCGCTCGGGAAACGGTACACTATGATATGGGTATCTTCTTTGTTCGGGTCGGACGCGCGCCTCCTAGGAGGACGTATAGTATTAGTATGTTTCTGTGCTTCCCATGCTGCTTCGCATGAGTTTGATGCCAATGAATGGAGGAGTAATTGGATGCGTCAGTGGATCAGTCCTGTGTACTAACGTGTAGAAGTTGTGATGCTTCTTATTTTGGTAGTGGGCCAGCTTCTGATGCCAGCCCATGCCCACCCCGTCCCGTCTCCAGGGGCTTCGCATCCCCCATGCCAGACGGCCTTTCATGGCCAGAAGGGGCCGCCCTTTCATGGCCAGACGGGGGGGTCTGAACTTGCTTGTCTGGGAAAGTTATGACCCCCCCGTTTATTGCAGAGTTCGGGCCACACCGGTATATATTTCCCTCGTTTTCGCCTTCCAGGGCCTCCTGGGAGGCCCTCGTCACCACCGCTGCACTCGCCTCGAAATGCCGGTCGAGAGGTCCGGGGATCAGCGGTATGGCCACCTTTTGATCCCTCCAGGTTTCGGGCTCCATGACCAGTACAGCTCGCGATGGGGGAAGAGAGCTCCAAGGTTTTTCGCAATTTTCCGGCTCTCGGGGCCCTCCACGGCCCCAGGACTGTTAGAAAACGATCCCGGATGAAGAGTTGGTCTTGGGGGAAGGCCCCAGGGTCCAGTGCTCGTTTCCCTCAGTACCCCTTCCCCCCGCGGCTAAACAGAGCGATCTGGATCGAGCAAGATTTGCAGCATGATAGGGGTCCGTCGGCAGCTTCGGCTTCGATCTCGTGTTGCGCCGCCAGTTCTGGCCCACCGCGCTTCGGCGCGACACGCTGCTCACATCTCAGTTTCCATGCGTCAGCGTCCCGAGCCCTTCCCAGCCTCCCGCCCGGCGGGGCGGAGCGACGCGCACACGCTATTGCAAGGCGCAGCGTGCCGCTGGGGCCGCCGCCGCGACACGCCAAGCAGAAGTTCCCGACCGTGGGATTTGCCTGGCAGCGTCGGACCTCCGGGTGTCCCCTCCGGGCCCAGTGGGGCTGTCAGAAAACGCCTCGGGATGGCCTAGGGCCTTGCGGCCCGGGGGGGGCCACGCGGGCCAGGACCCGCTTCCACCTGGACTCCCTGTCCCAAATGCTCGGTTTGAGGACCTTTCGGGGCCCCAGAAGGTCGTCCTGAGTTCGACTCGAGTTCGGCTCGAGTCCGACGGACGTTCCTCGCAGCCTCGACGCAGAAGTGGGGCGAGTGGCTTCAGGATGGCTCCCATCTCGACTGTCAAACGTTCCACCCGTGCCAGGCCGTGTCAGCTGTGGTCCCGGCGGAGGGTTCTGCGCTTCTCCTCGGCGTGGCGGCGGCGCCGGTGTGGGCGGTTCTAAGATTGAACGCCCTCTGGGCGGGCTCCGGGGGCTGGCGGAGAGCGTAACTCGCAGTAAGGATGCGGCCGGCAGCCTGAAGGGGCCTCTGCGAGCGAAGGCTGTGCAAGGTGGTGCGGCTCACGTCGGTTCACGCTCTGTCAGAGGCTCTGGCGCGCGCCGTCCAGTCTAGGGGGCCTCGTGCGAACCCTACCCCTACCCCACACGATTTCTGAGAGGGAGGGTGGGGTTCACTTCGTGCGGGAGCTCCCGAGCGAAGCGAACCCCACCCTCCCCCTCAGAAATCGTGGGGGGTAGGGTTCGCACGTGGCCCCCTCAAAGTCAGGAGCCTGCCGTGCCTTCGATACATTCCGAGCGCTCGCCTGCCTGACCAGAGCTGGGTCTGATCAGCAGGTCGGCCCTGCAGAAGCAAGGCTGCCCGCGTTTCTCGTCCGTGGCGCTTCTGGCCCTCTCCACGTGCGGAGCACCGGCTGCCCTCGGGAAAGACGCTTGCCCTTCCGGGCGTCTTCTCTGCCGACCGCAGGCCAGGGGGCGTGTTCTCTCATCCTGGGCCCACAGAAGGGCGTTGCCATGGTCGGTGAGCGTATGGGTGGTGTTACTCGGTGCCCTCCTCGAGGACGGAGGTTGGCACCCCCTCGAGCTGACCGCGGTGCTCGAGGCCGTCATCAGACCCCTCCTGCTGGAGCAGGAGCAGAGCCTCACGCGATCCCTGTCGGCCATGCTCGACAGCTACCGCGCGGCGCAGAACCCGCTGGTTGGCCTGGATGTCTCGGAGCCGCGGCCGGCGGCGTTGCGGCCGCGGCCGCAGGGCAGTTGCACGCCGTTCGACGAGTTCGAGCGCCAGTTCTCAGGGCCGCCAGACTTCCGCGGTGGAGGGCTCGATCGCCAGGTCTCGGACTCGTCGAGGACCAGCTGGCCAAAGTCGCTCATCAACCAAAGGGGCAATGGGCCCACTGTCAAGTCCCTCGAGGACGCCCGCGGGATGGAGATCCTGTCCAGCATGGCCAAGCAGGGCAGACTCGGCACGCCCGGGGGCGGAGGCGATCGTGTGGGCGACAGCGCGGCCATCGAGGAGCCAGAGCTGGACGTCTGCGCCACGCGGTCCTCCCAGAGCACGAGGTCCCTCCAGAGACGCTTGCGTGGGCTGGGGCTGCTGGGCGGTGGTCGCACGACACGGCGGCTGGGCCTCGGGAGCCCCAGGCGTTGGGCAGTAGGGGCGCCACGCCTCGGGAAGCCCGCCGGGCTGCCCAGGTTCCTGGACCTCAGCGGGCCTCAGCCCGCGGGGCCCCAGCCCGCGGGGCCCTGCGCAGGGGCGCTGCCGCAGGAGATCCGGCCGCACACTCCAGCGCAGGAGTCCTGCGGCGCGCGAGGCGGCCAGCTGCGCGGGGCCGCGCCGGCCGTGGGGCGCGCAGGGCCCCAGCGGGACTGGGCGCAGGCGGGCGGTGACCGCCCAGGGCCGCTCCGCATCCCGGGGGTCCTGCTGCGGGGCGAGGAGGAGCGGCTGGAGGCCACGTCGGCCCGTGCAGCACCGCCAAGGGAGGCCAGCGCGGCCTCGGCGCCCGCGGGCGACGGCGGCGCGACGCTGGCCGACAGCGGCGGCGGCTCTGATGGCCACGCCCAGCGCCTGTGGCCGAAGGGGACGGCGGCTGGCGCAGGCAGCGGCGGCGGCGACGACGCTTGGCCCGGGCGGGCGCCCGGGGCCGGCGTCGCAGGCCGTTTACACGTGCGCCTGACCAGGGAGGACGTCAGCGGCCACGGGAAGCTCGGGGTCGATGCGCGCGAGGTGATCGCTGGGGTCGTGCGGGGCCTCCGCATCACGGCCGTGCACGAGGGCGGCCTCCTGGCCGCGTGGAACGCGCGGCGGGCCGAGGGCCGCCTGGGCGTCGGGGACAGGATCATCGAGGTCAACGGGCGAACGGAGCGGCTCGCGTCGGCCCTGGGCAAGGCCTTCGCCGAGGGCGAGCCCGTCGACCTCGTGGCCGTGCCCCTGTCCTCCGGGCGCCAGGCCGTCGGCGCCCTGAGCGAGGCAGGCCGTGCCGCTGGCGTTCTCGCACGTCCCGCCCGCAGGGCCCCGAGCGATGATCCTGGCGCAGTCGCCGCCACGTGGCCGCCGGAGCTCGGCGGCGGCGGCGAGCCCCCCGTGGCGGGCAGCTCATCCTTCAGCGGCGGCAGCGCCAGCCTGCCGCTGCAGCTGCCGAGCAGGCCCCGTGCCGACAGCACGTGCCCAGCGCGCTGGCACAGCGAGCCCGGCAGCGGCGGCAAGCCCCCCGTGGCGGGCAGCTTGTCCTCCAGCGGCGGCAGCGCCAGCCTGCCGCTGCAGCTGCCAAGCAGGCCCAGTGCCGACAGCACGTGCCCAGCGCGCTGGCACAGCGAGCCGGTGCGGTGCTGGAGGGCCGACGGCGACCAGGGGAGTACGGTCGTCGAGGGACAAGGAAGGGGCATAAGCTTCAGCAAGGCCTGTCCCTTTACAGACGGAATATGCAAGAAGAGTGGAAAAAAACAGTGTAGTGACGATTGTTTGAGTATGTTTGGCATGTTTGAATACAGTTTGCATATTCTTATCTTCCTTCCAAAATCCGCATACCAGAGGACATGCCCGACCTTAGCATAAGCAGATTTCCACGGAGGTCTGCGCGGATTTCTTGGATCGGCGTTGGACCTCCGTCGGACGCCGTGGCGGCGCCTGCGGCGCCTTCCCTGGCGCGCTCCGCGCGCCAGGGAGGGGGGCCCAGTGCAGATCCCAAACATCTGCGCAGGCCTTCGAGAAGGTATGCTTATGCCGTTTTTCGTTTTGTCTTAGGTCTGCCCGACGGCGAGCACCGAGCTGTCCGCGGGGCCCGCGAGGTCGAAGCGACCCCCCGGCTCCGTGAGCTCATCCGCCCTCGGGCAGGCGACGGTGCAGTCGGTGCGGCTGGACCGCGAGGACGGGCTCGTGGAGGAGATGGTGCAGAGCCAGGACTGCGCTGCCGCCATCTCGAGGAAGGAAGATCAAGCCTACGGTCGGGATCTCTGGCTCAGCGTGTCGCTCCGCCGGTTCCGGCCCACCGCGCTCTGGCGCGAGACGCTCGCCGCTTCCCACTGCCCGGGCATCCACGTCCCGAGCCTGTGCTAGGCTCCCGCCTTGAGGAGCGGAGCGTCACGTCATCAGCTCGCAGGGGTCACAGCGTGTGTCGGCAGGGCCGCCGCCGCGACACGTGAAGCAGGAGCTCCTGCCCGTGAGCGTCAGAGTGAGGGGGCCGAGCGGTCTTAATTGCACCATCCCTGGGCGCGCACCTGGAGGGAAGAAACCATGGCGAAGCTGGACCAGCTCGCGGGCCACAACCTGAGGATGGCGATGGGAATGCTGATCGTCTACGTGGGAGGCATGAAGTCCTAGTCGGCGGCGCCAAGGTTTAGAAGATAACTGTCCCACGCTTTCGGGCACCATTTGTATACTAGGGTTTAGGGTGTTTAACGGCGCCTACGGAGGACAGGTTTCTGATGTTTGCGGGGCCGCATCTCGGCCCGCAGGTGGCCCATTTGGGCCCAACATTGGACCTACATGTGACCTTCTTGGGCACAGAATTGGGCCCGCATGTGGCCCTTTCGGGATCCAACCTGGGCTCATTCGGACCCGAGATTGGGCCTGCATGTGGCCCTTTCGGGCCAGAACTTTGACTCGTCTTTGACCCGTATTTGTCGTATTGCACGTCGTCCCGTCCTGAACTTGGCCAGTCTCTCTCTCTCTCTCTCTCTCCCTTTCTCTCTCACTCTCACTCCATCCACTTCATTGTGTGTCAACGTTCCTCCGACCTTCCGTCCGCATCTATAGCCATTTGGGCTCTGGCCATGGGCCTTCTCGCGGCCTCGCGACTGAGGTGCATCAGCATATGGACCCCCTTGACATTTTGTCAGATGTGTCGATGGGTGATGAGGCTTGTGCTTCAGAGGTGGTGCCAGCAACGGGGCCAGGACCGCTTCCCGCGATTGACCTCATGGATATCGTCGCCTTCGAGCCGCACGACCACCTGCTGCAACCGCTGGCCGTTCCAGCACCATCAGTACCGCAGCCACTACCGCCTGCAGCAGCTGCTGCAGCACACCACCAGGTCCTTGAGCGAGCTCGTCCGAGCAGGAAGGGATCGTTTGGACATGGCAGGCATGGTACCAAGGACGAGAGGGATGAACTCATGCACTACGTTCGAGAACAGCGAGCGTGGAAGGGGGCGGCACCCCAGAAGAAAGTTACGCTGGAGCAGGTCGTCGCCTTCGACACTGCCTTGCGGCCCCGCCTGAAGCGATGGGCCTTCAGATCAGTCGTCAGACATTTCAAGTTGGCCAAGTGTTCGAACAGCGCACTTCGCCTGTGCATTCGACGTCGCACGAAGACAGGTCAGACACGCGCTGAGAGTAGACTGTTCTCCATGGACGGCGTGCTCGAGGTCGCGTACGACTATGGGAGCCGCCCGGCTGTCGTGGCTGCTCTGCATGGCATCTCTGTGAATTGGGTTCAGACCATGCGGCGCGTGACCGCCGCAGCTTTTTTACATTGCCAGCACCTCGGCTTAGGACAGCTGGTCAAGTTATGCCAGCACACGAAACCTTTGTTTGTGATTTCGAGGCTCGCTTTCGACGAGACTGGCGAGAAGCTGACCGCCCCTGTGCCTGGAACCTCTGGCGATGCTGCAGGGACGAACAACACGTGGCACATTTTCGTGGCGCGGCTTTCTCTTCATGTTGGGTGGACTGGCCGTGCTGGGATGGACGAGACTGTTGTCAGGCAAGACGTGGTTCTGCCGAACTTGATCCTCACGGCGCCGAATGCTCCACATATCTTCACAAATTTATTTGGACACAAAGCCTACACGCCAGTGTTTGCGGCGCTGGATATGTTACGTTCGCTGGCCGACAACGCCATTTCATTATTGGAGGTGGATGGGGCCTCGCCGAACGAGATGGGCTGGGCGCACCTGCTGGATCTGAACCGCGACAAGTCGCTTCTCGATTGCAGGTGATACGATCAGCTCACAAACAATCCCACATCATTAAACTTCCAGAGCAACCCACTCCCCATCCCCATCTCCGACCCCCGAAGCGCCAACGATGGTTGGATGTCGGGGGGTCGGGGGCGGGGGAGGAGGGGGGGGGGGGATGGAGGGCACTGCGAGAGGGAGGGGAGGGTCATGGGTCAGTTTGATTTTCGGCCAGATGGGTCCGAGGCTGCCCTTGAGGCCTTGAGGGTTCCTGAAAGGTCCAAGGCCGAATATTTCTCTATAGTTGTAAATCCCCAGAGGTTTGTATGTCGCCCCCACGGTGCCAGTCTTATTGAACGCAGTGTTCTCGCAGCGGTGGGTGGTAAGGTTCTCACGCGCTTGTACAGCCTCGGATTGTTGTTTAGCACGGCAGCATACTTCGTGAAAATGACTAAACAGTTGAACGTACTCTTTATGGAGACGGACTTGTCGGTGATTTGAGGGAGGGCTGACGCCGACCCCATCCTGCTTGATGCCGCGTTGGAGTACGCGTTGGAAGTCATTCACTTCATTGCGCGCCACCATCGGCCGAAACAGACGTCCAAGAGAGAGACTGGCAGAGACCAAGACGCGCTGGACGACTACACCTATGTGAACGACTTCGACATCCAGGCGCTCTATGACCACCCGGAGCTCTTGGATAGAATCAGGCCTGAAGGGTACATGCCATATTGACCACCACGTGCAATCTGAACTGCCAGATCCTGGGGCAGGGTCATCACAGGCCCAGGATCTGGCAGTTTCGACTGCACGAGGTGGGTCACCATGGAAGTCCCATAGCCCATAGGAACGCTGGTTTGAGGAAGACGGTGTCATGTTTGATGGAACTCGTGGCGATTTGCAATGGACCGTGGTGGGGACATGTCGACGTTCCCACTTCATGTCGCATCCTAATCCTTCTCCTGCCTCCCTCTCCTTCTCTCTCTCTCTCTCTCTCTCTCTCTCTCTCTCTCTCTCTCTCTCGCTCTCGCTCTCCCTCCCTCCCTCCCTCCTTCCTGCATCTCCCTCCCTCCTTCCTGGATCTCCCTCCTTCCTCCACCTCCTCCCCCCTTTCCTGCGCTCGCATCCTCCCTCCCTCCTTCCTGCGCCTCCTCCGCCTTCCAGCTCATCGTCCTCCATATTGTTTTTGGTTTTTGGCAAGGTGGGGCAACGCGTGCGTGTATCACATATGTACTGGTCCATCTTGCTGCTCATCTCGGAAGCACACTGCCCGGAAGGTGATCGATGCGATTCGCAAAACTGTGTTCAATCATGCGCCGACAACGCCAGCAGCGAACAATTGGTTGAAACTCACGCCCGCGGTCGACACCATTGCGTCTGGATACGCTGTGCATGCTATCTGGCCACGTGCGTTTTCATCTCTCCGTGTGAAAGATACTCATAGCACGCCCCACGACGCCGATATGGACCACCAGCTTCTCCACGATCTGTGCTTTTCGGAGGTCGCCGGAGTGCGGTTCAAAAAGGCCGAGGAGTTCCTGTTTGATGTTGATACTCCTAAGCGCCTCGTCATGCTTGGCATCGTGCTTGAGCCACTATCAGAGTTGACAGGATGGCTTTTACGGCGGGGTCGAGATCGTGAAGATCATGTGCAAAGGCGGCCTGTCATGGACCTGCTCCACGGGCCTGTTTCAATTCTTACTGCAGCGCTTCAATACTTGAGCTCGTTGCTGAGCGGCGAGCCGAAACGCTTCATCCTGCTTTGGAGACAATCGGCACCATCTTTCACGGAATGGTTTCAACGCACCTGGGAGGTCCGCCTTCTTCGGAGAATGGTCTTGCTTGTGAACGCTCAGCTGTATCGCCGATTCGTGATGGTTGTGAATGATTTCCCCTGGGTGCTTGTCAAGTTGGCAGACGCGAGGGTCCCCGACCCCGAGAAGCAGCGCATTGCCACCCTGTTCGATGAGAAACGGCGGCGCTGCTTGCCCGGCGGATTCGCTCGCAGGCTGAATGGCCCGAGGCGGCGTAAGCAACTCTAGCCGTCTCGCCGAGGCCAAGGGCAGGGGCCCCAGCTTCGAACTCGCATTGCGATGAATTGCGACAGTGGAAGCTGGGGCTCATGCCCTTTGGCCTGGGCGGCATGGCCTCTGAGATGTCTACACCGCTGAGATCGTGGAGTCCGCGGGCGCCATCTGCAGCAGGACCCCTCGTGGCAGTTGACCTTGAATTGGTTCGCGAGCTCTCTGAAATTGCAAACGGTTGACATTGAGTGGAGGCATGAACACAACAGAGTTCGCAGCCACAACCACGGTAAAACGGCATGGGCCACCTTCAGCGCAGGGTATATCAATGGAGAGGCCATGGCCCAACACAGTGCATATCGCAAGGAGTCTGGAGCGACACGTGACGTCACCACGCCGCCGCCGCTGCAGCCCAAGCCCAAGCGGGCCCTCGGCGCTTACGAGCTTTTCCGCAAAGAGAAGATCAACGGGGACAAGCTGATGAGGAAGGCCCAGATCACCGACCCTCTGTGCCACCAGGACTCGCGAAGCAAAACGCAATTCGTCCTGTCATGCTTCCTCTTCATTTCGCTCTCCTCCACATCCTACTCCCATCTTGAGTCAAAGAATCTTGAGCCACGCCCTCCTCCACCTCCTCCACATCCACCTCCCACCTCCGCCAACTCGACCTCTTCATTCTGCCCCGCCTCCACCTCTACCTTCTACCTGCTGCTCTCTGCATCCGTTTTCTGTCCTGCTGCACCCTGCTGCTGCTGCTGCCTCCTGCTGCCTTCTGCCGCCTCATTCATTCATCCCCATCGTGTCATGTACTCCTCCCTTTTTTTCCTCTGATCTCGGCCCGCAGGAAGTGCTGGCGGAGTGGCAGGCCCTCGGCGATGAGCAGGCTACGTCCATGCAGAGAGCATCGAACCTCGCTTCGGAGGCTGTCATTGCTCGGGCACTTGGTCCTGAACCGATTGCTGACGTGGAGCCGCCGCCTGATCCTGCTGCCA